TAATAGGATAAGATAGGATAGAGTATAGGTTGGGGGAAAAAAGATTCAGATAAGAGAGAAAAGGGGAGAAGAAAATAGGATGGATTTACATAATGGAATAGGAGGGGATATGATAAGATAGAATAAGATAGGACAGGATATACATATATGATAGGAGAGAAATTTGCTAATAGAATAAGAGTGCATAGATTAGTAAATAAAAAGATTAGATTAGCTTCTTACTTTGCTGCCTAAGATTCTAATGTTTTCACATTTTCTTTGATCATCAACATAGTCGAAGGAAAAAATATCTACTTTTCGTTTCGTTTAGTTAAAAATATAAATTTCGCTTTTTAATTATTGTTTTTACGTCAAATTTTATTGTAGCCTTTGAATTCTATATCTAGCACGTTTTAGTGTAAATAAACAATAAACATAAGCTCATTTACAGTTATAAAGTATTTAGAATGCGAGTAATTTTTTGACACCATTTTCGATCGGCTCGAATAATATTTTTTTGTTTTTATAAATTATTTTGACACAATTTAATTTTTTCACTATTTTTACATTTAGATTTTTATTTGCGTTTTTTTAAGGAAATACACATTTCTCAATTAATTTAGCTTTCTTATTAATTGTTCATGCTGTATACATATATTTTAAGCCCCATTTGTAAGCTTGTATTATTATATAAAAATTATATATTTAATGGTTAAGCAATTGTGTGGTTCGATTTTGTATACTTTTTTCCTACTGCATGCTTTTTCTAAGTCATTTAGTAAATTACTAAGTATAAAATATTTTTAATTTACTTTTATTTTGAATTTGTAGTGTTTCCAAATTCTTGATACAAATTTGATTTACTTACTCAGGCGAATTCTGCTATTCACTTCAGTGAAAATCACTTGAATTCGAATTGTATGGTGTTAAAATTCACTCGGAATTGAATTGTATAACCTGCCTGACTAATTTATTTAAATATTTTAATATTCTATTTTTATTGGGATTTTTAATTTTTCTCAGTTAAGATTAAAATGTTACATATAACACAATTGTTTTATTTTTTACAATGAATTTAAACCATTATTTTCTGTTTATGTATTTTATTTATGTACGTATATATGTATGTATGTATATTTTTTTTGATGTTGGGGTTTTCCAGTTTTTTTGAGTTAAGTGAAGCTATCCTCGAGAAAAATTAGTATGCAGCTATAATTTTTAAAAATGTGAAATAAGTTTTCTTTACCAAAATTATGGAAAAAGTTTTTTATACAAAAAAAAAATTGTTTCCATATACAATTTTTTTTAGATAAATAGTTTTTTTTTTATAAAAAATGAGTTTTTATTTAAAAAAATATATTTTTAAATACCCTTTTTGGTGAAAGGTAAAAAAGGTGTTTACGCAAATTTAATCCTTTCCTTAAACACATATTTACGTATGCAGTTTATGGCTCTCTAAATTCTAATTTCATGTTGTTTGTTTACTCTAATTAATTCTTTATTTTTTTGTTTAATTTCTTTTATTTATTTGCTAATTTTTTAAATATAGACATATACACACATATTTCTATTATTTGAGATCGTAGTATTACAGCTTGAATATTTCCAATAATTTACCAGTCAACTTTTTCACGCTGAAAAAATTAAATTTAATGTTTAATAAATTTTTAAACTAAAATTTGCAGGGATGTGTTTCAAAACTATACTTTTTAAAATCAAAAATAACTTAATATTGTTTTATTGAAAATACCTTTATTTTTTTAATTTTGAAATTTGAACAAAAACTAGCATGTTCTTGGTTTTGAGATTGAGTGATGTTCCTTAAATAATTTACCAATCAACTTTTTTTACACTGAAAAATTCAATTTAAGGTTTAATAAATGTTTAAACTAAAATTTTCGCGGATGTGTTTCAAAATTATACTTTTTAAAATTAAAAATAACTCAATATTGGTTTATCGAAAATGCTCTGATTTTTTATTTTTTTTTTTAATTATGAAATTGAAATAAATCTTGCCTGTTTTTGGTTTTGAGATTAAGTGCTGTGAAATTGGAGGGGGTTTCTAATAAAAGTAAGAAAAACACAGTTTAATTTTTTTAAACAAGTTGCATGAAATAATTTATTTTATTATAAAAATAAATAAGTATGTATATTAAGGCAGAGTAATTTAATTTCGAAATTTTACGTTCGAATCTAAACAAAAATGGTGAACGAACTGTATACCAAAAATGACGTTAAACTCCCCCAAATTTTAAAAGAAAATTCTGTGTATTATAATTTTTTCGGAACGAAATTAATTTATCGTTTACAAAATTTTGTCTTTTCTTCATATTTAAGAATCTACTTCACAAAACCGAGAAAACAGAATAAAATTGTTTGGTACAATGAAAAATAAATTTCGAGTAAAAAAGTTGCAATATACTATTTTTTTATTTAAAAAATTGGGAGAATTTAAATTTGCTATACACTTTCTTGACAAATTTTGCTCCAAACAAATTGCTCCGCCCTAATTGTGATTGCATATGTACTTATGTAAGAAATAATAACAAACAAGTTAAAGAAGAAACTATGTTTGTTTAAAATAGGCTAAACAAGCAAATATAGTAGACGATATGCACCAACAATTAATTAAACATTTTATATATTTGTAATTAATGTGTCATAACTTCGAGTAAAATTATTAAAAACTGCCCCTATGGAGGACAAATAGAATATTTTTTTTAATTTTAATTCTTTATTTTTATGGAATCTTATTTGTTTAATACTTGATATTATTATTTTAGATTTTATTTTTAGCTTATATTTTATATGCACAATTTTTTAGTACAGTTTGTTTTATATTTATTTTTAAAGTCATAAATTCAAACACATAATTTTATATTTATTTTCATTTGTTTTTGTAAACACGTAGCTATCTTTTGCGATCTTCTTAACTAAGTCGCCACTTCGTCTTAATTTTTCTCCCACATTTAAAAATACATATGTACGTATATATAATCAGTTTATTTTTTAGCTTGATTTGATCATTTATTTAATTTACGCTTATTTATTGAGTTGCTGTCTACCATTTATATTTTACCTCCACACCACTACCCTACCTAACGCAAGTGAGTTCGTCTCCTATCACGCATGCTTTTGGATACCAAATACATATTTGTTGTTGGTATCATCTACATACATTTGTTTTCGTAGCTATCGGCTATTTTTTTTTGTTTTGTATTATTTAGCTTGAGGCGTATCTGACTCGACTGGCATTCCACTGCACTTTGGACCAACGCAGAATGTTCAGTAAAAAAATTTGCCGGCCCACTGCATACAGCAATGCTGCTTTCGCTATGCCGCTCAAATGTTGTTTATTATTAAATAATGAAATGTGTTGTTGTGGTCGATGAAACGTTGATCGTTTTGTTGAGTGTTGAAATACAAAGAGCAGTGGTGACTCGCTATTTTTTTTTCACTTGTTGCGGTTTTTTGCTAAAGGCATAATTGTATGAAAAAAATCATACATTACATTAGGATGAGCGAATTTCTGTGTAAAAAATTAGCCTGTCTCGGCTTGGAAAAAATTGCTAGAAAGTAAAAAAATTTAAAATTTTCACAAAAAAATATACTTTCTAATCGACGTAAATAACGATTTGTGCACCTAGTACTTGCTTTGTGAATCTAGTGCTTAAGCTGTACTTTTAGCACCAGAAATAGCTTAATGATCACCGACTGTGGTGATGGTTCGACCATTGAACAATGTTATATGCTGAAATAATATCAAAAAAGGAAGGTAACTTTAATGGTACAACTTGTTCTACTTTGCATCTTGGCTTCAGAACTGGAAGGAATATTTCAAAAACTCCTCTGGTCGTTTTAGTCTTCTTCAGCAGTCTTACTCAATGTGCTTTGCTTTTTTAATTGGGGAGAGTAAAAACCGCACCAGCCTAATAGTGATTTGTATGCTATCTATATACTTCTAAATATATATGTATATGCATATATATATATATATATACATATAGGGGAGTTGCTTGCTTTGCTTCGACTTACACATCCTATACTCGTTAATTTACATTTTGTTTATATGTATATTTATGCATTTATTAAGGAGTTTATTTATTTGCGTATAAAATATTGCATTACAATTTAAATGTTTGCATTATTCTAGCGTATTCCGATTTGCTATAATTTATTTATTTTTTTTTGTGGGGGTGTAATTGCATGCATGCATATAAACACACACACATATTGTTTGAATGGATAAAAACTATTAAATATAGTTTACGCGAATTAAATTTATTTTGCATATTTTTTTTCATTTGACAATTCATATTTTCTTATAAAATACGGCCTTTTTGCTATAATTTTATTTTACATACATATGTATGTAACTTAATATCAAAGATTTGCTTGGTTTATAATGGTGAGTGATTTTTATAATTTCTTATTTTTAATTTTTTTCTAAACTTATTTTTATATTTTTACCACTATGTTATTTAAAACTTTTGAAGCCATGGAATTGCATAAGTAAATTTCGTGTTCATGAAAAAATCACTTAATTACTAAAGTCACAGAGAAAGTCGTATTCAATTTCGAAGCTACCGTAAAATTATATAGCCAAAAAAAGAAAATTTCTTTTGTTTTTTAGGCAAACGAGATTAGTCAATTCCTACATATTTTGAGACCGTTGAGTCCGAATCGAAAATCTGCATAACAAGGCTTGTTCAGTTTTCCTTTCTAGCCTTCAAAAATCTACCACATTTAGAGCTTTTCGACATTAATTTTTTTTTTACCAAATTCTAATTACTTAATTACACTTCGTAGCACAGTTTCCAAAATTTCTAAATTCTAATTTGTACTAATTTGTACCGCATTTTAGACAAACTTATGTTTAGCTGAGCATTTAACAAATTTTATTGGGTGACAAAATTAATAAACGATATTAAAAGATTTCGACATAAAAAAAATATGAAAAGAATAAAAATTTAGAATCTCATAGTTGCTGTAGGAATAAAATCACTTTCATAGAATATTTATGCTTTTTCTAGTAAGCTGACTTGAAGCTCGAAAGTCTTTAATAGAAATTTTACCGCTTTAGTAAAATTTTCAAGGCCTTCAAGGTTTTCGGGGTATTTACCAGCTTAAAAGAGTACCCTTAAGTTAGGTGTTGCCAATTTAAAAAATGTATTTACATATTCTGCCGTATACTGAGTTTCGCCCGAAAAAAATTCAACCGAAAATTTCCGCTGATAAGGCTGATTATGTATAATTAAAAAATTCAGTTTAAAAAATATTTGATTCTGAGCAATGGCTTCAACAAAATTAATGTTTACTTTTGCTGTTGTGAGCGCTTGGCAGCTGTCAACAAAGTAAGCAATTTACTTAAACAAAATATGCTATGCTAAAAATAAAATTTTTAAGACTTTTCAAATTTTCGCTGACATTTTTCTTATGCATATTTCACTAGAATACTTGGGGACGCTCTTTAGAAAATCGAAATTTATGCAAAAATTACAAATTCGAAATGTTCGAAGTTGGATTTGTGCACAATAGGTATAAACCATTATTTTTTAATTTTACATTGCCTTTCACATGTCTTTAATTATTCTGCAATTTTCGAATCGATTTCGAACAACATGTTCGAAAATTTGAACATTTGGCAGCTTTTTCAAATGACTAAATATTTATTTTTTAATATTCAATGAAATTCGTGACTAAAAGTGTTGGCATACGTCACTTCGAAATTCAAGCATTTTTCATTTAGATACATATTTTAAATTAGATCTATTAGAAATGTTCTGAAATTAGTCCGATTTGAAAACGGTATGATTTACGAATTTCAACTTTTACACAATACACAAAAATTTGGCATTAAATAGATAAATATGACGTAACTGAGGAGTTCTTAATAATAATAATATTTTGGCGCTGACATTTTTGCTAAGTGTTTGGCCGAGTTCTTAGCAGCTTTAGTTTCAAATATTTGCATTAAAACTATTCAGAATTATTTTGCGAATCGGGTAGATTTCAAATCGTACGATTTTTTACAAAATGCTATTTTTTCGAGACAATTAAATTAAATATTCGTAAGTAGTCTGCCTTAGACCTGATTTTGGAATTAAGTTCGGATTTTCGAACAAATAACTTCTGTTATGATTTTTTCAGTTTACATTTTTCCTATGTAGGACCCCTTAAGTCTGATTTTCGAAACAAGTTCGAATTTTCGAACATTACTTTTGGTTGTGAGTTTTGAAGTAAATAATTTCCGATTTTAGTTTTTCTACGTAAGACATCCCAAACGTGACTTTCGAATCAAGTTCGAATTTTCGAACAAATTCTTCCATTTGAAACTGATGTATTACTATTTTGAAACATTATAGTTATTTAGCGTAAGTTTTTGCAATAGAAAAGTGAATTTTTTATATTCGAAGTTTGTTATAATATGTAGGTATTTCTATATCTTTCTGAAGATTTCTTGTGCCTACCGCTAATTTACTCATAATTTTCCATACAGGCCCTCTTGCAATGCACAAAAAGTTTATTATGATTATCGAAAATGATTTTTTTACTTATTCCAGTTTTTTCGCTCCAAATGATATGAGCAATCTGTTTTAATAGCTTATTTAAACAACAAGCACTATTAACTAAAATTCCGTTCCCCTTGCCTCTTGCCGCTGATACTATTATTTGTAATTTTTTTTTTTATTATTTTTCATAAGCGGCTTTTACAATTAAAATACGTGATCTACAGTTCGTTACAATTCAAATAGGATTTTTAATTCAACTGTTGTCTTACGGTACAAAATTTTTAGTACATACTATAAATTCTTAAGAAAATTAAGAAAATAATTTCTTAAAAGTAGCCAATTGTCGCAAATCAAACATTTTTTTGTTTTGATTTTTATGAGATTTTCACTTTACGGTCACAGTTTAAACCAGAGTATATTAAAAATAAATCTTTTTGTAAAAATTTACAGCTTACCATATTTACATAAAAGCATTTGAATTAAAAACATTACATATGCATAAATATAAAAAAATAGGTTAAGTTAGACAAAAAATTAAACTATGCCCGCCTCCAGTCTATCATGTGACTATGATTTCATTATCCTGATCGAGCAAAGCACCCATTAGGAAATTCTGCTCCATTTCATCTGCGGTTGGAATGAGTGGTTTATATGTGTTGGACACTTGCTCCTGCAACACCAAATTAGTCATAATGGGCGTTTGTTGCTGCACCAGCTCCACGCGCACCTTTTCCCCGCCATTGATGGCCCCATCTTCGAAGGAAACCATTAAGTCATTGTTATTCAATTGTACGTTGTCGGTGCCAAGTATGCTCGCTACCGCCAAAGAGTCCTCCGTCTGCCGTGATGCTACTTGTGCATTCGAGAAAGTCATTGCGTTACTATTATTATTGTTATTGTTCGGCTCTTCTGCGATATTTCCAGTAGCATGCACTGTACGTAGATGAGCTATAAGCAAGGGAGGAGTATTAATGATGGAAGTAGCAATGAAAATTGTATGTACATATGTATATGTATGTATGAACTATGGATGCATGGCGAGGTGAGTCTGTCTATGAATGTGTGCGTATGTGTGTGATTGCGTGACTCACTTGTCAAACGATTGCGACCGAAGAGACAATCACAATAATCACAGGCGATCAACTTATGATTGAGATATGCGTGATCGTGAGCCTCTTTAATGGACGATGCCCTGGCGCCGCAATTGCGAATGGGGCAGTGAAAGCTATCATCGGGTACTATATGCAAATGGGGATGATAGAAAATGATTTCATAAATGGCTTATCGAGTTCCCATTATACTTTCGGGCATATTCGGATATAAGCTCTCAAAATCAGATACAATTTCCGAAATCATTGAAATGCATGAAAATCAAGTTCCGAACTAATATATTTTCTACAAATGGCAAATTAAAACATGTCATGCATAATTTCGAATGTTCGAGCTTCGATGTTTAGCCAAGAAATTCTCAAACGTCCATTTATAATAATGGTATTTGTTCGAAATTTCGAATTTTCAAATTCTAGTTATTCATTGCATTCTTATTGCCAATTTTTTTAAGTGCATAATCCTGTTGATTTAGAATTTCGAAGCTTCTAGAATTATTGGAAACAAATTCAAATTTTCGAACATGCTGTATGTATAAACATATGTACATATATACATAATTCACATAATTACTATCAGATAACTTTTTTAACTAAAAAAATAGAGTTTCGACTTTTCGAAGTTAATTTTTTACGATCAGTTTTCAATCAGTTAAAAATTTCATATATTGATGAAATTAAATTTTGACACCGAAAATACAAATTTTTTATGTGAACGATAGCGACGGATATTGGTTATAGTTAGTTCAGGTTAAAAATTTAATGTTGCAGAAATAAATTATTGAAACATTTAAAAGTATTTTGTAGCATTGAGTATTCGAAGTTGGATTATTACGTTAACTTAAAAGACTGCGATCACTCTCCAATTAATTAGACTTTAATGGTGATAAAATATTTTAAGAAGCGAAAATAGAATTTTGAAGTACTTTTCATACATGCAAATGATTAATGAACACCTAGGAAATTTCTACAATTAGTTTAGCATTGCAAATACCGAAAAAAAAAAAAATTACTGACTATGAAACAATGTTCTGGACTTCGAGTTTTCGAAGTTAAAATTTTGTATAAACGAAAATGGCCAAAATTAGTTTCCAATTAGTTTAAGCATATCAAATATGTATTGATGAATGTTGAAACGGGGGTTGAAGTTGATTTTTTTTTGTGTTAAGAATTGTATTTCCAATTAGTGTAACACTTTCAAAATTGATAAAATTAATTTTTCAGAAATTGAAAAAAGTTTTAGAGCTTAAAATTTTCGAGGTATATTTTGTATGCGGCTGCGATCACTTTCCAATTGACTTAACACTTAAAAATTTATCAAACACTGCATTCAGAAACAAAAAAAAAACTTTTGGGAATAACTTTTATGCATGCAAATGACTCATGACCACTACGATTTTTTCTCATCATTTCGCTACAATTTTTGCTCACCTTCTCCATCGCCAGCATGCTCTTTCTGGTGCTGCTGCAATTCGCGCATATAGCAAAAACGTTTTTCGCACAAATCGCACTTTAGATACCGTGGCTTGGCGTGCATCTCCATAATGTGCCGTTTCAACTCGTTTGCATCTTGAAAACGCATCGAGCACTCACTGCAGCCGAACGTGACAGTCCCATGTGTGCCCATATGCTTATCAAGTGTAGCCTGTGTTGAAAAACGTTTATTACAGTGCTCACAAGAGTACAATCTCGGTCGTCGCAATTGACGCGTACGCTCTTGGTACGGAATAACCTGACGCATCGTTTCGATACAATGGCCTTTTTCATCACGCGGCTGCTGGGCGTGTAAACGCAGTTTTTGTAGTGAACTAAACACGCAGCCGCAGTTGGTGCAGGTGGCGCTACCCAAACTATTGCTCCCTGTCTTTTCCGGATGGAAATGTTGTCTGTGTCGACTGAGAAAGGCCATACTTACGAAACCTTTGTGACAGTATTCGCAACGCACTGGCAGCGCTCCATTGTGTGCCTGATATTTATGGCGACGTAGTTCGTAATCATTTGAAAATACTGCGAAAAGAATGTTTTGAAAAATGTAGCACAATTTTGCATTAGCACTCACATACATATACATATCTAACACGTACCTTCTTGGCATTCATGACATTCAATTTTGAAGTTTGCACGCGGGCGATGCAGGCGTTCATGGGCCTCCAAATTAGCGCGGCGTACAAATATGCGTCCGCATTCCCGGCATCTTAACTTTTTTTTGTTAAGGTGATGTCGTTGATGTGCACGGAAACGATTTAATGGAAACTGGTAGAAGCATTGTTCGCACGTATCACAACGCCAATCGCCCACATATTGACAATGCATCTCATGACATTCCTTTGTACTGCGCAGGGTCTTTTTGCAGTATTCACATTGGTCAGCCCTGGATACGGTGGGGTGCATGAGGCGTACATGGTAGTCGCGTTGCTTAGCGGAATTGTATTTCTGTGGGCAGTACGGACACGTGTAAGGCAGATTGGGGTCGTGCACGTCAAAGAAATGCTGGGAGAGTGCATCGGCACTCTCAAACACCAAGTGATCAATAGAACCGGAATTCGGACAGTAGCAATATTGGCAGGCAAATGGATCGCGTGAGATGCGCGTGGGTGAAGTACCATCTGCCTCCGTTTCGACGTCATCCATTTCGTTGGATTCTTCTTGTTCGGAGCATGAAAGGTAGTCCAGTTCTGGAAATTAGACGAACATACTTTATTTAAATTGTTTCTGAATGTTTTTTCAGTTTACTCACCATCGTCCATCATATCCTCATAGGTAGAAAATGGTTTCTCTTTTTCTTCTTGAACCATTTGTGCTTCTCCTTGAACCATCTGTGCTTCTTCTTGAACCATCTGTTCTTCTTCTTGAACCATATGTGTTTCTTCTCTCACCTCGTCATAAATTTCTGTCTGCACGCTATTCGACTTGTTATTTTTCGGTATTATGCTGCCTTGTAGCATATCTTCCAAATCAATATCTGGCTTTGCGTTCTTCAATGTGCTACCCAAACACTTCGCGCTCGCATTTGTTATTAAAGTTACTGGTGTATTTGTGGCCGCCGTTACTGTCGTAATGGGTGCCTGCTGTGCATAGTAGATATTTTGTGCTGTTGATGCTGCCGAAAACTGTAGTACATTTGTCTCTTCCGTTTTTGTGTCCATGGTGGCGTATGTGGTGATCGAATTAGCGCTGTTGTCCAGCAAAGAGCCATTGTGCATTGTAGTCAACTCTTGTGTCAGCAATGATAGCGTTTCTGCTACACTAGCAGGCAATTGCAGCCCATCCAAGCAGGCTATGACATCAGCACTGGTTGTTGGCGGTTGTAGGCAATCTAAACTTGCCATTAATTCGGCGCTTGTTACTGGCGCATCAATCTTCAGTCCGCTTAGCATATCGTTGCCATTTGTCAAAGCTGCGCTAGTTTGCGACTGTGGCGACAGCGATGACGCTTGTTTGCTGCCGCCTGCCACAGTTGCAACATTTGCATTTAAACCAACGCCCACAAATGATTGCAGCAACTTTTGCTGTGCCAATACGCATTGCTGCCGGAATGAGTGAATGTTGCAGAATTGTGCAAAGCAATTGGCACAAATTTGCTGTGGTAAACCATCGTTGGCTGAAATCTACGCAATACATTTGTTTTATCAATATTTTCAATATATTGTGAAATCGCAGCAAAGCATACTCACGTGTAATTGCCACGCCACCGATTGCGTTCGCACAAAATCCAATTGCTCCTCAAGTCCAGCTAGGGGCTCAAAAAGGTGCACAAATTCAACCTCGGCGCCGGTCACATAGAAATTTGCACATAGGCGACACGCTTGTACGTGAGCAACCTGATCCATAACCTGCTTAATGCAAACAAGCTCTGGCGTTATGTTGCAGAGTATGCGTAATTTTAAGCTTTAAATAAATAGTTAATTAAATTTCCACACCACAAAATACAAAAAATGTAATCAGAAAAAATTCACTTCAACGCGTCTAGGAGTTGTCTTTTTCACCGCACGATGATTGATAAAGTCAGCTGTTATTTGTTTTCCGACGTTCGCGCGCGGTACGTTCAGTGCAGGCAGAGAACGCCAACAAAGCGTACGGAGTAAAATAGGCGGGAACAATTTGAAAAAGTGGTGTTGTGTGTTCAATGAGTGGTGAATATGTTGGTTGCGAAACGGTTATCAGCTGGAAGAGGTAAAATGCGCGAGCCACCATCAGCGTTGGCACTTTGCTACGTTTGTAGTAAAACCTGCTAAGATTTTTCAAAAATTTTAATTTGGTACTCCACTACGCTTATACTATTTTTTCTAGACTTTTTTATTTACTTCAACTGACACTACGTTCACCTTGAGCCATTAACTCGAGTTTATGGGTCACTTTGGAGTTTAACGCTAAACTCTGCTCTTAAACTCTGAGTTTACTATACAAAAAGTTTTCGTTAAACTCTCCTTATGCAACGTTCATGCTGATATTACATAACTTTTATTTGGAGTTTATGTAAATGCAATCCTTTTTTTTCGAATTTGATTTTTGTGTTTGATAAACTTCAAAAAGTTTTCGTTAAACTCTCCTTATGCAACGTTCATGCTGATATTACATAACTTTTATTTGGAGTTTATGTAAATGCAATCCTTTTTCTTCGAATTTGGTTTTTGTGTTTGATAAACTTGCCGACAGTTAGCCTGTTTCCATACTGCAGGATTTAATCAGAAATAGCCCAAGGTCGGTCCGTGCATGTACTACTACTTCGGACTATTTCTGTGCAAACCCTGGAGTACGGGAACAGGCTAAACACGAATAAGAAAACGTAAACAAACAAATGTCAAATGGAACTCTGAGTTTCTTAAACACCCCAATAAGCACAATTGATAGTTGTTCATAAACTCAAAACTTTAACCTCGAGTTAATGGCTCAACGTAAACATAGTGTTATGTGCAACAACGATTTGTAAATAACTTTTAGTTTAAAAATGTGGTAAAGGGACCATGGTACCCTAGACCATGATAAAAAAAAAGAAGGTAGTTTCATTGTCACTTTTCGGGCACAATATTAACTACCTGACAATTAAGCAGATTGTGACATTTCGTGCTGCCATACCTAGTCCTCAATAATCATTTATTAAGCAAAGAGGTAACAGTGACGATGTATTGCTTGTCGAACTAGACTTTTTCCGCAATTGTGTTCCGATTTGTTGAACGCTTTTGCAAATCCTAGCACAGAGATAAAAAGCGGATCAAAAGAGGCGAAAGATTTAGTTCGCCTTATTGCGATTTTTTTCGTAGACATCAAATTATCGACATTCTCAAAAAAAGTAAGCTGCAAAAAGTGTTTAGTTCTATTAGTTCATTATTCGTAAAAGGACACACCTAAAAAAGTGCAGGTTTTATTAAAATTAATATATTTCGCAGGATTTTTTATTTTTTAATAAGATTTATCTGGGCGTTTGGTACGAAACGGGTTTGGTGAGCTCCCAACTCTGGCCCGTCTTACCAGGAAATTCGATAGAATAATCGATGAATGTTATTAATTTGATTAATCTTGCCATTTGCAGTAGTAGGTAAACAAAGAAAAAGTAAATAAATAATTAATTTGTTAATGTATTATCTGTATTACATAGATATTGCGTGTTTTGGATAAGTCACTCACACTATGAGGTCTTATGATTTCGTTGAAGATGTAAAGGTAGATTGAACGTCTCTTCGAAATGGCTGATTTCATTGCTTATTAAGCGCTTTCATTTGTTTCCTTCCACCGGGTATTTGATTAAATGATTTTGTTAAGCCGTTGTCTACTCAAAGCATTATGAAACATAATAGGCAAATATCTCGAAGTCACGGTGCTCAATTCCTTCATTATTGATCGCATTAACTTCGCTGATTCCTCCTAGAAGAGTGTCTTCCAATCACAATAACAATATAATGTTTGCGTTGTATATCTTGCCGTTGAAAACAAATTACATATCTTAATGAAATGACTAATTCCATTGGATCACAAATTTTAATTTGATTTTTGTTCTCCAGACGCCACTATCCAATTTCTGTGTCGATTGCTCGGTGATTACGAAAATCGAGGTAATTTTTTTTCCATGGATACGTTTTTGAGATATTAGCTATTTACCGTTATTCAGCTTAAAGCAAAAACTGGTTCCTTTTAATCAGTTATATCTTACGAACCAATTTAAAAATCTTAATATAAAATACAGAAAGTGAAAGCCAAAGAAATTCTCCATAAACAGTATATACCTCACTTGCCGATAGGGCTTATAGTTTCTGGAAAATTAATTAACGATTCCAGTTTTTTTTTTTATGAAAAAAATGAAAAAAAAATCGAACTTTAACAGAAGAAAAATTTAAAAAATAACAGGTTCTGTGCCAAATTTTTGCATTTGTACTAAAGCCTTTTCTGTAAAAAAAAATCAAGTTACTAATGAAGAAAAAATATTAACTCTATTTTCGGAGTCACGGAGCAATTCTACGTAGGAATTTGATAGTGGCATCCATAGAACATTCTTGCTGTAAACCAGTGTTCTTAAACTACAAAGTAGCAAAAAGATGCGCTTTCACAACAACAAAACGCTGAAGCACCAGCAGAGTTCTGTTTAGAATTTGCTGCTAAACTTGCATATATCACTGCATTTTGTAAATAGTTGCTAGTTGTGTGCAAAACGATTCGTCCACGTTGAAAGTTTGCTTAGCTGAAGTGGCTCTTATGATATGATATTCAAATACAAAAGCCAATTATTTCCATTATCTACGCATTCGTTAGCTTCCAGATGCTTAAATACTAAATTCAACGCTATATTCAAATTACTCTTAATTGAGCAGTGATTTGCAGCGTTTCGGGTAGTAGTTCAAGTGAAGAAATCAACGAGCGAATTAAATCAGTTGAGTGCATACAAACATATGTACATACCTACATATTTTGTACATTGTTCTGAATATACTTACATAGTTACAAATAACGCTAACAACAAAAAAAATTGCAATTAAAAGCCGCACCTAAACGCTGCCCGATTCCTGCCCAATATAGTGCCTATTGTTGTTGTTGTGCCTATTAACCCACCTGCCGGCGACGGATATTGCAATTCTTCTTGCCTGCTAATTGTTAAAGATGGCCGATGGCACAGGAAGTGTGCATTTAAAATATATCAAAGAATATTTAATTGCGAAAATTCTGAATAAATTAGAAAACGAAAAGCTAGTGAAATATGAGCTGGAACATGCAAGTGGTCTGGATGGCTTCATGTCTGCGCTCTACAATATCCACTTGCATACTGAAACTGCCAAGGGGTGAGTAGCACGCTTACTAATGCCTCTTAGATCAGCACTAATCTATTTCCATATTTGCCCACCTACTATACAGCCCTCAACATCGCCTGCTGGTAGCCAAATTCATGAAAGGCGATGTTGCCTTCCGCGAGTCGAGCAAGTCGTACGTACAATTTGCCAATGAAATATTTGTATACCAGCGTGCCTTATCTGTTTTTGCTAAATTGCTTGCCTCTGCCAAGCTCAACATCACCATTGACGATTGGGTGCCACATCCTTATGTTGCGAAATTTGGTTACATTGAAGGTTTAAGCGCTGCGCCGGATGTACGTGAAGCGGTGCTGGTGCTGGAGCACCTCAAGCCGCGCGGCTATGTGCTGGGACCACGTCTTTACCTCACACGCGAACACTTGCTGCCGATGTGCAGGGTAATTGGTCAATTTCATGCAATGAGTTATGCTTTGCAGTTGATTGATCCCACGCAACTAGAATACTTGCGTAGTGATATAGTGACATTGCCTTTTATCAATGACGCCGATCCGACTGATGCGAAAAACAACTACTATCGCTACCTTTATCGAGCTGCCTTCGATCGTTTTTATGATTTTTTCGATCGCAAAATTGATGGCAATACTTTTGATAAGCAAAGTGCTGATGATTTGAAATTGATTGACCGATTGCGTGATTTGCGCGAGAAGTACAATGCCGAGCCGACGCGCTTGCTGGAGAAAATACGTACCAGTGTGCTGGATTGTGAGCAAGATAACCGTTTTGGTGCTATTCTTCATGGCGATTATAATCGCAATAATGTACTTTTCCGCTATGAAGAGATGCAAGGCGCGGATGAAACGGAGCGGAAGGTGGCCGATGTAAAGATGATTGATTTTCAGGTGAGTTGTAGTTGGGTTGAGTGTGGGAATGTGCGCGGGCAATAGGAATAGTGACTGCCCTGGCAATAAGTAATCGTTTTCTTTTTGATACGGCTCGGTCGAACGAGCACATCAACATAGATGTGCTTGCCTATTTTTTTAATATACTGCGGCACAATCACAAAACTTCTTCCTATCTTCCAGGAAATGCGCTATGGTAGTCCTTGCATGGATCTAAGTTTTTTCATGTTCATGAATACTACCAAAGAGACGCGTGCAGCGATATGGATGGAGATGCTGCAGACGTATCACACAAACATGTACGATACATTGAAGAGAGCCGTTGTGGCCAATGGCAAAGTGGATGCAGCTCAACTGGCGGCCTACAAGTAAAAGATGAAAAATTACTAATTAGAATTAGATTTTACTTACACTATTTTCTTGCAGTTTTGATGAATTTTATGCACACTTTAAGCGCTATGCCTTCTACGGCGTCATGATATGCCTACACTTTCTGCCCTGGATGCTTTCGAGTGAAGAGGAATGTGCAAAAATTTCGCATCTCTTTGAAACCAATATGCAAGGTGAAGAGTTTCATCGAGTTTCAATTGAGATTGGTGGTGACGAAGTAAATATGGAATTATTGGATGTGATGAGACATGCCTGCAAGTTGGGTTATATGGATGAGCTTTGAGAAATATAGTAAAAGAAAAGTGCGACTTTGTGAGTAGCTGGAAAGCTGAGGCGCCATAAAAGAGTGCGAAGATAGTAAATAAAAAAAGCAAATATTTTAAGAGAACTAAAGTGCTCGCTTTCGTGGAGCACTCCATGCCAGAAGCCAGCTGCAGCGTTTAAGCAAATAATGTATGCATTGTATATATTTATTTAGCTTTATAAAATGCGCACTGTACAAAGTTAACATTACTGCTTAAGCTTTATTTTAAAATTTTTTTGTTTAGCTTTGCTAAAATTAAATAAATCTGAAGAGAGAAAAATAGTATTAAATTAAAAAATGCCATATACTATATCTATATGAATATTAATAAAAAAAATTTTAAATTTTACTTTGCAACCGTAAGGCATTTTTATTGGTTTTTGCAGGTGTAAAGATTTTCCAGTTTGCCAACTTGTATGCATAAAACTAAAAATATAAATAAAAAAAATGGCATTCCAACTAGAAACGTTTTTCAGATTAAAATGTTTATAACAGCTTTTTAGTTTGATGCATATTTTACAAAATTTTACCACTATTAGATTTTTTATATATATAGAAGGCAACCATTTTAAAAACTGGTTCAGATTAAAGCTTTGATTATCATTTTAAATAACTTACATTAAATGGGGTTTAATATTAAAAAAATAACCTCTGCAGTGAAGTATCTTGAAATAAATTTAAGTTACAAGTGCGTTCAACTACCTTTCTTTTTATAACCATATTGTAATATTTTAGTAAAGTTTAGTTTAGTTTATAGTTCAATAATTATTTATTTTTTAAAGTTGTACATGCATATGTATTCCTTTCATATATACTTTCTTAATATGCGGCAACCCTGTATCAAATTATTTTTGGGTTAAAGATTTATTAAATACCTTTCGTCCAATATCCATATTATAATATTTCTATGGTGAGGTCATATATGTATACATATGTATGTATATACATATGTGCATACATATACACTGGCGGCAGAAATATTGGACTCGTCGTACTTTTAAGAATGTTTGCTATATTTTTTAGTCTATTTTGAGATTAACAGCCTTATTCCGTATCATAAATTATTATTTATTTTATTTTATTTTACTTTATTTTATTTTATTTTATTTTATTTTATTTTATTTTATTTTATTTTATTTTATTTTATTTTATTTTATTTTATTTTATTTTATTTTATTTTATTTTATTTTATTTTATTTTATTTTATTTTATTTTATTTCATTTTATTTCATTTTATTTTATTTTATTTCATTTCATTTCATTTCATTTCATTTCATTTCA